ATTTACATATTTAAAACATTTCAGTGGTATAGAAAGCTAGAATTAAAAGCTAGAAGTAATTCTCGCCATGTGTATCACTCTATAAACATTTTTACACGGCACCCAAGTTTTTTTACGTAGACAGATGGGATTTTTTTCCTTTTCTTTTCTTTTTCTTTTTTTTGAGGTGGAGTCTTGCTCTGTTGCCCAGCCTGGAGTGCAATGGTGCCATCTCAGCTGACTGCAGCCTCCGACTTTGGGGTTCAAGTGATTCTCCTGCCTCAGCCTCCCAAGTAGCTGGGATTACAGGCACCCACCATCATGCCCAACTAATGTTTGTATTTTTGTAGAGATGGGGTTTTACCATGTAGGCCAGGCTGGTGTTGAACTCCTGAACTCAGGTGATCCTCTTGCCTTGGCCTCCCAAAGTGCTGAGATTATAGGCATGAGCTATCACGCCAGCCAGGGTGATTTTATACACGTGAATCCTTACCGATTTGTTAATTTTAAACTTTGGAAGAAAATTGTTAGCAGACACAACAGGGCTGTATTGAAAGTTAGAGCATCTTAGTCTGTATGGCTTGCTGTATAACTAAATACCATCAGTTGAGTATCTTGTAAACAACAGAAGTTATTTCTCGTAGTTCTGGAGGCTGGGAGTCCTGTATCAGCATACTGGCAGATTTGGTGTCTGGTGAGGGCCTGCTTCCTGGCTCATAAAAGGCCCTCTTTTCACTGTGTTTGTCAAAGCAGGAGTGAGAGAGCTCTCTGGGGTCTGTTTTATAAAGGCACTTATCCACTCATGAGGAGCCCCACCCCATGACTTAATCACCTCTCAAAGGCCCATCTCCAACTGCTATCACATTGGGGATTAGGTTTCAACACACGAATTTTAGGGGACGTAAACATTGTGGGTAGCGCAGCCATTCAATTAAATAACTAAGTGAATGAGTTTTCAAAGACTTAGACTGGTAGCCAAAAACTGAAACTAAAAAACAAAGAGAAAAACCCACTACTTGATCTGTCCTTTCTTTGAAAGGTAGAGGTCAGTATGACAGTTTCTTCCACTGGTCAAAGCTCAAAGCTAGTGAGTGCTGGCTGACTCATTATGACTTGAATTCAAACAAGGTAGAACCTTGAAAAATAATTTCTCTCTAATGTAAATGTAGCTAATAGAAGCAGCGGAAACTGAATTCGGTAGCAGAGCGTGGTGGACAAAGGATGCCTAAAGATACATTTTCAGAGCTGGAGTGGAATGAGAGACGGTCATCTATTTCAAGGTCTTTTTCAGAGTCTTGTGGGGGCTGGGGGCTGGTGGCAGAGTGGGGACCAGAACCTCAGTTTTGAGCTCCAGCTTGATTGCCTTTTCAGGGTATAGCAGGTCAGCCAAGATGACGTCCAGGGGTTCCAGAGAGAGAAAGGACAGCGGGTGGAGAGCTGCATACCTTCACCTTGTGGCTTCTGTAGTGCTCTCTTGGTAAAAGGAACAGGAACTCAAGAGGAACCCCAGTTTTGTTTGTTTGTTTTGAGACAGAGTCTCACTGTCACCCAGGCTGGCGTGCAGTGGCACGGTCTCAGCTTACTGTAGCCTCTGCCTCCCAGGCTCACTCTGTCTTCCCATCTCAGCCTCTCAAGTAGCTGGGATTACAGGTGCATGCCACCATGCTTGGCCAATTTTTTTGTAGGGACGAGGTCTCCCTCCCAGGCTGCTCTTGAACTCTTGGGCTCAAACGATCCCCCACCTCAGCCTGCCAAAGTGCTGAGATTATAGGTGTGAGCAGTCGTGCCCTTCGGGAATCCAGATTAAACAGACATGCAAGAGGCAGCTGGGCTGCTAAAGTAGTCCCTGAAAATGGACTCTTTACCTTCCACCATCCTCAGTGAAAAAGCAATTATCATGAACTATTTCAGACCTGCGAAAAGTTAGCCCCACCCACCTCTGGGTTTAAAGATAACCAAATACTTCCAGTGGAGGTGATGCCCCCCGAGTACCCCTCTCCCCGTCACCTACGTGCAGCCCCTGTCAACAGCCTCCTAAAACCTACTTCCCCTTCTCCCTCTACAGATTAAGCTTTATGAGAAGAAAGTGGGAGGGCCTGCCTTTTCTTCTTTCTTGATTGTTTTTTGTAAACACTGTACCTTTGGACTTGGATGGGAACAGAGTGACAGCTTGTTTGGTATTGAAACTGGAAGCCCTCCGGTATTCCTTTCCTGTTGTTGCTGTACCAAATTACTGTGCATTTGTGTTTTTTTGTTTTGTTTTGTAGTGGAGTCACTCTGTCGCCCAGGCTGGAGTGCAGTGGTGTGATCTCAGCTCATTGCAACCTCCGCCTCCCAGGTTCAAGCAATTCTCCTGCGTCAGCCTCCCAAGTAGCTGGGATTACAGGTGCCTGCCTCCAAGCCTGGCTAATTTTTGTAATTTTAGTAGAGATGGGGTTTCACCATGTTGGCCAGGCTGGTCTCGAACTCCTGATCTCAAGCGATCCGCCCGCCTCGGCCTCCCGAAGTGCTGAGATTACAGGCGTGAGCCACTGCACCTGGCCAGCATCTATTTTAAAATGAAACAAATAGGTTTTTCTTACAGTTCTATAGATCATGGGTGAACACAGGGCGAGTGTCTCACCGAGACAGGATTGAGGTTGCTCGAGCACCGTTGCCGCGTTGTTGCTGAGTCTTTAGGGGAGAATCTGTTGCCTTTTCCAGCCCCTAGACACTGCCCGCATTCTTTGATATTATGGCCCCTTCCTTCATCCTCAAAGTCCGCATCACCACATCTCTCCAGCCCTTCTTCTGTTCGTGAGCCTCTTTGGTCACAACCAGGAGTGGGTCCCTTTTGAGGACTCATGTGACTCACTGGGCCCACCTGGGTGGTCTGGGATAAGCTCCCCATTTTAAAGTGCTTACACCGAATACCATCTGCTGAGTTCCTTTCGCCGTTTCGGGTAACATTCTCGGGTTCTGGGGATTAGGACACGGGCCTCTTTGGGAGCCATTGTTCTGCCTGCCACACCTCCCGTCAACTTTTTTTTTAAGACGAGGTCTCGCTCTGTCACCAGGCTGGAGTGCAGTGATGTGATCTTGGCTCACGGCGGCCTCCACTGCCTCCCAGTTTCAAGTGATTCTCTGGCCTCAGCTTTCCGAGTGACTGGGACTACAGGCATGCACCACCACGCCCAGCTAATTTTTGTATTTTTTAAAAGTAGAGATGGGCTTTTACCATGTTGGCCAGAATGGTCTTGATTTCTTGACCTTGTGATCCACCCACCTTGGCCTCCCAAAGTGCTGGGATTGCAGGTGTGAGCCACCGTGCCCGGCCCACCTGTCAACTTTGTAATGGGTGATAGTGTGTTGGGGTGGCCTCCCACTCAGGATGTGCCCATGTACATGCACCCTAACTTAGGCCCTTGTGATTCGAGAAGGGACATCTGATGAACTGGGATGGCACTGTCCCTTGGGCCTCTTACTGATGTCAGCTAGACCTGGGACCAGATCCTGTCCCAGCCTGTCGCAGCTGCCAGCCGAGAGCAGCTTACCGAGCCCCTGCTATTCTGGGAGTAAGCACGATGAGCCTGTCATCTAGCTCAGCGGGCACATGCAGGCCCTTCACACTGTTTGCACCCCCCCAGCCCACCAAGACCACCCTCCTGTGGCTGCAGGGATGAAGGGCAAGCAGGGGCGGGGTCCCCGGCTCCTCCCTGCTTCTCCTTTCCCCGTCCTGTTTCATTTTTTTTTTTTTTTGAGACGGAGTTTCTCTCTTGTTACCCAGGCTGGAGTGCAATGGCACGATCTCGGCTCACCGCAACCTCCGCCTCCTGGGTTCAGGCAATTCTCCTGCCTCAGCCTCCTGAGTAGCTGAGATTACAAGCACGTGCCACCATGCCCAGCTAATTTTTTGTGTTTTTAGTAGAGACGGGGTTTCACTATGTTGACCAGGATGGTCTCGATCTCTTGACCTCGTGATCCACCTGCCTCGGCCTCCCAAAGTGCTGGGATTACAGGCTTGAGCCACCGCGCCCAGCCTTATTTTTATTCCTGGAGACCCTGTGCTAGCTCCATCTGCAGACATGTTTTATTTTCTTCATGAGCTTTTAGACCCTGAGAATTAGTTGCTTACATTTATTTTGTCATATTTTTTTGAGACAGGGTCTTACTGTGCTGTCCAGGTGGGAGTACTGTGGCGCTGTCACGGCAGCCTGCAGCCTCTACCTCCCAGGATCAAGCGATCCTCCCACCTCAACCTCTTGAGCAATTGGGACTACAGGCGTGCACCACCCCACCCTCATAATTGTTACTATTTTTTGAGATGCAGTCTCACTCTGTCACCCAGGCTGGAGTGTGGTGGCATGACGATCTCTACTCACTGCAACCTCTACCTTCCAGGTTCAAGCAGTTCTCCTGCATCAGCCTTCTGAGTAGCTGGGATTGCAGGAGCCCGCCACCACACCTGGCTAATTTTTGTATTTTTAGTAGAGATGGGTTTTCACCACATTGGCCAGGCTGGTCTCAAACTGCTGACCTCGGGTGATCTGCCCACATCAGCCTCCCAAAGTGCTGGGATTACAGGCGTGAGCCATCACCCTAATAATTAAAAAAAAAAAAAAAAAAAAGATTTTAGAGACAGGGTCTCCCTGTGTTACCTAGGCGTCTCTCAAACTCCTGGACTCACGTGATCCTCCTGCCTCGGCTTCCCCCAGTGCTGGGATTATAGGCCTAAGGCACTGTGCGGGCGGGGCCGCCAATCACTCTTAACCCTGTGCCGCTCCTTCCACCGTGCCTCTGGTGTGCAGCCTGCTTGGAGCCTAGAAAAGATGAGTTGTGCCATACAGAAGGGCGGCTTTCAGCTCGCAGGCCCAGAGGAACAGACACTGTCACGGGCCAGCAGAGAGCACCGGGTACCCCCAAGGGCAGTGACTACTGTGATTCCCCTGTCTCCGAGCCCCTTCCACCTTTCTGTTCATGGCACAGCCTGCGAACCCAGATTCTCTGCTGTGCGCCTGACCCTCAACCTGTGTTACGTTTAGGTGGCCCTGGTACAGTGGACCGAAAGTGTGGGCTTAACCCTGGTGGGCCGGGACCAGTCTTCCATGCAGCTGAGGACCCCTGGCGACCAGATCCTGAACTTCACCATTCTACAGATCTTCCCTTTCACCTACGAAAGCAAGCGCATGGGCATCATCGTGCGGGTGAGTTGTCTTTTATTCATGGCCTGAAGTGGTGAAAAACCCCAGGCGTACTGCGTGTGTCCCTGTGGCTTGACACTCTTTCTGACCTTCTTTACTGTGGTGTCTGTCACCCAGACTAACGAGGGAATATAATTTCCTAAGCAGAAAGGAAATGAGTTCCTTGATTGGACACACTCCATAACTCTGATCCGCTTATGGTGTCCCCGGTTCCGGAGTGAAAGTTAAAGAGAACACTTATTGGGGATTTCTTGGTAGTACATCTCTCATTCTCTGTTGTTTAATATTAAGTACGTATTTTTTAAATTGTGGTGAAGTCACATAATAGAATCATTTTAAAGTGAGAAATTCATTGGTGTTTAGTACATTCTCAGGGTTGTGCAGCCACCACCACGCCCCTCTTGTTTCAAAACATTTCATCACTCCAAGAGAAAACCTTGTGACCGGGCTTGGTGGCTCACACCTGTAATCCCCCAGCACTTTGGGAGGCTGAGATGGACGGATCACCTGAGGTCAGGAGTTCCAGACCAGCCTGGCCAACATGGCAAAACCGCAGCTCTACTGTAATACAAAAATTGGCCATGCGTGGTGGCACATGCTTGGAATCCCAGCTACTTGGGAGGCTGAGAATGCCTCCCAGCTCAAGCAATTCTCCTGCTTTGTCCTCCTGAGTAGCTGTAACTACCAGCATGCACCACCACACCCGTCTAATTTTTGTATTTTTAGTAGAGATGGGGTGTCATCATATTAACCACGCTGGTTTCAAACTCCTGACCTCAGGTGATCTGCCCTCCTTGGCCTCCCAAAGTGCTGGAATTACAGGTGTGAGCCACTGCCCCCAGCCTGCATCTCCAGCTCTGGTTACCAGATTTCACTGGCTTTTTCTCGAGTGTTTGTACTCATCTCTTTCCCACTATTCCTCCATGTCCTCACCAACAATTGATGGTGTCAGACGTTAAAAAATGTTCCCAGTCTGAAGAGTCTGTTTTTTTTTTTTTTTTGAGACGGAGTTTCGCTCTTGTTACCCAGGCTGGAGTGCAATGGCGCGATCTTGGCTCACCGCAACCTCCGCCTCCTCGGTTCAGGAAATTCTCCTGCCTCAGCCTCCTGAGTAGCTGGGATTACAGGCACATGCCACCATGCCCAGCTAATTTTTTGTATTTTTAGTAGAGACGGGGTTTCACCATGTTGATGAGGATGGTCTCGATCTCTTGACCTTGTGATCCACCCGTCTCGGCCTCCCACAGTGCTGGGATTATAGGCCTGAGCCACCCCGCCCAGCCAAAGAGTCTGATTTGATATGTTTTTCTCTTTGTTCTTTTAAAACTTTTTAATTTTTAAATTCTTATTAAAATAATTTATTAATATTAAGAATCCTCCCACCTTAGCCTCCCGAGTAGCTAGGACGACAGGCTTGCGAAACCATGGCTAATTTTTTAATTTTTGTAGATACAGGGTTTTACTTTATTGCCCAGGCTGGTCTCAAACTCCTGGCCTCAAGTGATTCTCCTGCCTGGGACTCCCACAGTGCTGGAATTACAGGTGTGAGCCACCATGCCTGGCACATTTATTTATTTTTTGATACACAATTTCACTCTGTCACCCAGGCTGGAGTGCAGTGGTACCATCTCAGCTCACTGCAACGTCCGCCTCCTGAGTTCAAGCAGTTCTCCTGCCTCAGCCTCCCGAGTAGCTGGGATTACAGGCACATGCCATCATGCCCAGCT